GTGGGCAGAGTTAGCCTGCAATAGCACTTACTTACATACTGCTTCACCGTGCTTTTCAGCCCTTTCTAAGCCGTTTACAGAGTCAGCCTCTATTACCCCCAACAATCTGGCTCCTCATTTTACCGACCTCCGAAGGATGGAAGGCTGAGTCAACCTTGAACCTGGTGAGATTTGAACTGCCAAACTGCAGGCAGCTGGCAAGTCAGCAGAAGAAGCCTGAATACTCCATTCTAACCGCTGCACCACCACGGCTCACTTAACAACTGTCTTGCTTAGCCATGAAAATTGGGGGGGGGGGGGGCAGTTGTGGTCTTAGGTCGAGGACTACTCGTACACCCGCAAAACAAAAAAGGGCCGTGAAATGTCTTACGTAGCAGTTGTGGTTTATTCTTTGCTTAGTTGCTCTTCAGCGAGCAGACAAAGGACGTTGTGTTATCTCCACATCTGTGAAAAGCAACCTTGGCCGACTGCTCTTTTCCGTCACATCTCTGAGACACGTCTGCCCAGCTGCCTCTATCTTGCCTTGGCATGAGAACAAGCGGCCCCGTTTCACATCAGACCGAGTCCTTTAATTTCCCGAGGTGTCCTTGAGTGAACAACTGAGGGTTTAAGGACACCGGAATCTTTCCAAAACTTCTCTTCCCCCGACCCCGGAGAAGTGGGAGAGGAAGGAAGCACGGTAAATAAAAAGATTTGCCAAGTGCCTTGAGCTATGAGGGAGATATAATAATGGTGCATTTTTAAAAAATATATATATATATGAGAACTTGAATCCTTAGTTTGTCCTCGGCCTTCTGCTGTTTTGGGAGATTGTACGACCTGGACTGAAAATTCAGCGAAACTTGTTTTACAAAACTTGCAAAATCGGTACAACAAAATTGGATCCAACTTAACTTGGTTCGAATCGGTTTAACTTTGTGATCCCAGTTAGGTTTGCTGTTGTGGTTCAGCCGCTAAGTCGTATCCGGCTCTTCGTGACCCCCCCCCCCATGGACCACAGCCCGTCAGGCCTCCTCCCCTTCTGGGGCTGTCACAAAGAAGGGGGCGGGGGGTCAACCTATTCTCCAAAACTACAGAAGGCAGGACAAGAAGCAGATGGATGGAAAATAAACAAGGAGAGAAGCAACCTAAAAAACAGAAGGAGAAATTTCCTGATAGTTCTTTACAACAATTAATCAATGGAACGACTCGCCTCCAGAAGTTGGAGGTGCTGCATCACTGGAGGTGTTCAAGGAAAGATAGCAATAGCATTTGGACTTATATAGTGCTTTACAGCCCTCTCTAAACGGTTTACGCTTACTCTTGCGCCCAACAATCTTGGCCCTCATTCTACCAACCTTGGAAGGATGGAAGGCTAAGTCAACTTGAGCCATTGGGAATCGAACTGCTGGCAGTGGGCAGAGTTAGCCTGCAATAGCAATAGCACTTAGACTTATATAGTGCCTTACAGCTCCCTCTAAGCCATTTTACAGAGTCAGCCTCTTGCCTCCAACAATCTGGATCCTCATTTTACCAACCTCTGAAGAATGGAAGGCTGAATCAACCTTGAGACAGTCAGGATTGAACTCCTGGCAGTGGGCAGAGTTATCTGCCTGCAATACTATATTCTAATGACTGCCACTGCAGTTGTTTCATGTAGAATGTATAGTTATAATGTAACTAGCTGGATACCTGTGCTTCGCTACGAAACTATGTGATTGGGCTTAGTTTTGGGGGAAGAAAATAAGGGGGAAAAAATCTGCTTCTGCCTACCAGCATCCAACGGTATTCATCTGGCTAGTATCCTGTCAGTGTGTGAGAGAGTTGAGGGATGTTTGGAAACTGAAACAGTATTTGCTGTGTGAGCAAGGAGACAGCAAGGAGCCTGGGTGTGGCTTTGCTCAACTGTTCTGTACTAAAGCTGCTTGGTGCTGTGAAACTGAAGCTAAAACTCCTCTCCTCTGCTGGTGTTTTGCATTTGGAAGAGATTTCTTTCCAGGTGGGGAGGGGGAATAGAACTCCTTAGCATCAGAGACTGTTAATAATAATAATATATGAAATACGAATGCTCTGATGGCCATTTCGAAAAATCCTTTCTTGGTGAGCACCTAGGAGCCAAGAGGAATGTAGGTGCCAAATTTCAAGTTTGTAGGCTTTACGGTTGGAGATTTTGTGATGATGCGTGAGTGGTATTTTGCTTTTATATATATATAAATATATATAAACCCGAATAACCAAAGATCGATCTATCTATCTATCTATCTATCTATCTATCTATCTATCTATCTATCTATCTATCTATCTATCTATATTATTTTGTATGGTATTCAGCTTTGTTCGGGTATATTCCCACATCATTATAGTTGATAATGTGATACAATATATAGTGATACAATACAGAAGCCTGATGATGGCAGATGAGATTCTGCTGAAACGTTGCTACAACTTTAAAAGCACAACTATAATGACGTAGGAAAATACCCGAACAAAGCTGAATACCATACATGTAAGTACCCGCGAAAACTTAAGAATATATATATATAATTAGAATGTAATAATGATTCATCTCTAATTCATTTCCCCAGGATTGTCCAAATGGATTCGTCAGCAGATCCATCACTACAAAGACTTCGATTGTGCCCTTAGCTCTTTGGGAGCCTTTGCTAAAATGAACCAGAATGGCGCTGAAGCTGCACTTGGGGCTACCAACAGCTCTCTGCTCGTGTCTACAAGTTCAAAGATTCTGACACCCCTTTCTGCTCCAGAGGGACTTCTTCCTTTATCACCAGGCGCTCTTCATGAAAGGGAAGCCCAAGTTTCCATTTTGGAAACAGGGGCTGCCGAACGCATCGCAACTCGCCCAACAACCTCCGGTTAGTCACGGGATTCTCTCGCCAGAGCAAAGTTAATCTTGCTAAGATTTTAAAAACCAAATGCTTTCGTCATTCTGCTTGTTTCTGGATAGCTGCCTGGGTATGACCAACGTCCAAAGAATACCAGGAGCTGTTTCACCCCAAGCCATCAATTAGGAAGCCTGTATCTGAAAACTAACATTTTAAAAATCGCTAAAACTATTTTGGATGGTCAAATCTCATAAGATTGCAGAGGTCTCACCTCGGAGGTTCTGGGCAGTTTTGTTGTCTCATGCAGTTTTATACAAAAGTTTTGGATGCTCTCTCTTTTTTTTGTCTGAAATCTTTTAAGGTCTCGTGAAGGAAACTAAAATTTCATGAGGTGATTTTTGACAACATGGTAGGTAGATAGAAATCAGGATGAGTGAATTGGTAAGTTCAAGGAAGGAAGGAAGGAAGGAAGGAAGGAAGGAAGGAAGGAAGGAAGGAAGGAAGGAAAGAAGGAAGGAAATTGGAACAAATGAACAAAGGATGGGTAGAGGGAAGGAAAATGAAGAAAGAAATGGAAGGAAGGAAAAAATGAGAATGGAAGGAAGGAGAATAGAAGGAGAATGGATGGACAAAATAGGAAAGGAAGGATGTTGGAAGGAATGAACAAAGGATGGGTACAGGGAAGGAAGGAAAATGAAGGGAAAGAAGGAAGGAAGAAAAATGAGGGAAGGAAGGAGAATAGAGGGAAGGAAGGAAATTGGAACAAATGAACAAACAGGATGGGTAGAGGGAAGGAAAATGAGAGAACGGGAAGGAAGGAAAAAAAGAATGGAAGGAAGGAGAATAGGAGGATGGATGGAAGAAAAATAGGACAGGAGAAAAAGTTGGAATGAACAAACAGGATGGGTAGAGGGAAAGAAAGAAAATGAAAGAAGGAGGGAAGGAAGAATAGAGGAAGGAAGGAAATTGGAACAAATGAACAAACAAAAGATGGGTAGAGGGAAGGAAAAAGAAGAAAGAAAGGGAAGGAAGGAAGAAAGGAAAAATGGAAATGGGAGGAAGGAGAATCGGAGGAGGGGTGGACAGAAGAAAAATAGAGGAAGTATGGAAGGAAAAGAAATAGGAAGGAAGGAAAATGAAGGAAGAATACAGTTGGAAGGAAGAAGGATGGAAGAAAGAGAAAGGAAGGAAGGAGTTTCTTTTATTTTTCAGGAGACTCCCATCACCTGAGCTTGGCTGGGCAGATTTAAGGGGAGGGGAAGGTGCTCTGAACCCTATGTAGGCATTCCCATGACCCTTCTGCAACTCTTCAAAGCAGCCGCATCTGTTCCTGGGATCGTACAGCCGCCTTCCATGGCTGCACTGCAATCCCAAGGAAACGCACGTTGGCTCCTGAAGCATCGTCCTGAGCTGGCGGAGAGCGAAAAGCTGCCAATGGAAAAGAAAGTCCCCCCCAAAAAAAACTTCACCTCTGGGCGTGCAGGGATGTGTTGGGCCACCCACCGGGCTCCCTTTGTTCCCAAGTGGAAAGAAGGGATTAAACCCTTCTTAACAAAATGTTCCACAGCAGTTCCTCCCCGTACTTAGTTGTATATACATTGAAGGCAGGAGGTTCCATTACGGCATGTCAATCTGCTTGCTTGAAAACGCGTCTACAAAGAGAGGAAGTTCTGGAGGATGGAAAAGCCCCCAATGGGAGCTGGTTAGTTTTGCTAATACAGAAGAACAAGCTGTGTGGGGGTGTTGATGCCATGCTGGGCACAGGATGGCATTCCTTATTTGCAACATTGACCTTTTTAATGCTGTCGCCCTTTCTCCCTCTCTCCCTCCCTCCTTTTCCTTTTCTTCCTTCCTTCCTCCCCCTCCTTCCTTTTTCCTTCCTTCCTTCTTTCCTACCTATTTTTCTTCCTTCCATCCTCCTCTCTATTCTCCTTCCTTCCACCTCATTTTTCCTTCTTTCTTCATTTTCCTTCCTTTTACTCATCCTTTGTTCATTCATTTGTTCTAACTTTCTTCCTCCCTTCCTCCCTGACCTTCCTTTCCTTCTGCCTCTCTGTCCTCTCTCTTTTCCTCCCTCCCTCCCGCCTTCCATGTTTTTCCTTTCTTCCTCCTTCTATGCCCTTTCCCTCCCTCCCTTCCTTCTTTCCTACCTATTTTTCTTCCTTCCAGCCACCTCCTCTCTATTCTCCTTCCATACTCATTATTTTCTTCTTTTCCTTCCTTTCCTCTACCCATCCTTTGTTCGTTCATTTGTTCCAACTTCTTTCCTTCTCCCTCCTTCTTTCCTCCCTCCATCTTTCCCTCCCTGACCTTCCTTCCTTTCCTCCTTCTCCTTCCATGCCCTTCCTCCTGTCCTCCATGTTTTTCCTTCCCTTCCTTCCTCCTATACCATATGCCCTTCTCCCTCCCCCTCCATGAACCTCATTCCTGTCCTCCTTCTTTCCCCCATTCTCCTCTCTCTCCCTTCCTCCTAGGCACATGTTTTCCTTTCTTTCCTTTATCCCTTTATGCCCTTCCTTCCTTCCTCCCTGTCTTCCTCCCTCCCTTGTTTCCAACCTCCTCCTTCCCTTCTCCTATTCCCTTACTTGTAGCATTCCATGGACACCTGACCACAATTTACAATCTTTTTTTTTTACTTGGAAACTGATGTTTACTTCCAGTTTCTGGCAAAAAATAAAATAAACAGTGGCTTTGCTTAACAACGATTGCGTTCGCGTAAAAACTGCTGCACTCACTTTTTTTTTTTAATTGTTAGAGCTTTGCATTTCAACTTAAAAAAATAAAATAGAAAGTTTAAAAAAATAAATAAGGGCGGGATATAAATCTATGACTTAATCAATTATCCTAAAAACCAAGTACTGACGCCTGATGGATATGCTAATGGCAAGAATTAATAATCTCTTTTTCTGCTTCTGTTCCTTATTATCTGCTCTTCCTCCCCAGGTTCACCTTTCTCCACAAAGCAAAATAAATTTACAGACTCCAGCCCCCTGGGTTCCCCCGCTGACGGCAGGAGGAAGAGAGCGAACGGTCAATTCTCTGCTGGCAGCATAGAAAGTTACTTCACTAAAATGCTGGATTCAATACCAGCAGGAAAGAAGAATTACGTCTTCAAGGCTACCGGCCAAACTGAAAGAGCAGTGGAGAAAGACGGCCCCTCTGTTCCTTATGGACCCCAGCAAAATAATTTGTGGGTCAAAGAAGACCAACCAATAAAACAGTTGCCAGATGGCAAAATGATCAATGGTTCTCCAAGAACCTTGATGACCGAGAAATGTCCCCACGAAAGGCAGCACACCGGACATAAAGATGTGGAGAAAGTGGTGTCTTCTCCAAGGAGAACAAAGGTGGAACTTTCCAAGTCAGACCCAGGAATCGAAACTGGTGCTGGAAATGACAGGCTCTGTTTTACACCTGAACTGTATGATAATGATGATGATGATGAAGAAGAGGTGGTGGAAGAGAAGAACGAAGGCTCGATTTCCAATGACAATAGTACTTTGACGTCCTCTGAAACCGCAAACACCCCTGTTCTGGTGGAAGAACTTTGTCCACCCAGCACTCAAAAACCAGGAGATGCCACCTCCAGGTTTAAAGTTGAAGCAGGAGTGGCCGCAGAGTGGTCGGGGATCACGGAGAACAGCCGGAATAACAGAAGCGCCATTGAGGAAGCTGGGCATAAGGTTGGCATTGAGGAAACTGAGCCGGAGGTGAAGGGAAAGGAAAACCAGCTTCCTGGATCGCAAAGCAAAGGTGTGTCTTACAATCCATTCACTTAACCAGTAAAAAAAAGAAAAGAAATCAGGCCTGAGGAAAAATAGGGTCACTGTTTCTAGTTAAGGTCAGGAATGGGTTCAGAGAACCCGAGTTTCGGGAAAACTGGAGGGACGCTCATACTTCAGGGACACCCGCCTTCACGGAAAAAGTTGGCTCAGAATGGAGATTGACCAACTCTGTCCCAAAAATGCCCTCCACCTCTCCTCCCGTTCACTTCTGCAACATTCCAGAAGATAGGAAGATGTGATGTGCCCTCAAATCATGTTCCTGTCTCTACAAGTGTTGACGAATGAAAGAGAGCGTCCACTGAGAGGACAGATGTTTCCAACCAATGACGGATTGGACATTCTTAGAACAGAACCTGGCAGAGAAAACAGGAGGAGATGTAGGAGAAGGGCAGGCAGAGATGGGGCAGAGTTAAGAGAGAAATTAGCCCAGGGGTCGGCAACCTTAAAACACTCAAAGAGCCACAACGATCCTAACCGGAAGCACCCTGTTCAATTATGGAGCTGACCGGAAGTCCTGTTCCCCCACCATAGAGTCTCCTCCTAGCGCAGCATCATTTTTCCTCTACCTGTCCTAACCGAAAGCCCTATCAATTGTGGAGCCGACCAGTGACAGGGAGCCACAGCAGAGGGATAAAAGAGCCACATGCAGCTCCAGAGCCGTGGGTTGCTGATCCCTGAAGTACCCTGGAAGCCATTTGTGGGAACGTAAGGACTCCAGGCTGATTTCTCTCTTGACTCTGCTCCCTGTGTCTGCCTGTCCTTCTCCTAAAAGAGGCTGAACCATTCCTTTCAGCAATATATACAACTTATGGTGGACAACAACTGGTGTAGTCTTAGAAGAACTTTACAGGTGTTTAAAAAGATGGAAGAAATCACTTGGGTCCTGGTTTCCTCTGCTGCAAACCGATTGTCCCATCCTTGTTTTATTATTATGTCTCACCAGCCTATTTGTAGAAGGAATCAGTTTTATGTAAAGTCAGTGAGATCATTTCCAAATAAATGTAACAGGTCCTTTTTGGAGATGGGTAAGGAGAAAATTGTCGGGTTATATGAGTGTAGTTTGTTCAACATAACACAATGCGTGCAAAGAGATCCATTGTGGAGTTAGTTTAGTAGCTACCAGCTTAGAGAGAGTAATCAAAATCACCTTGGTTGGCTGAAATTTTGGAGACTATGTTCCCATTCCCAATCCTTTGGCCTTTTTTAACGATCATGTGAACTTCACAGTGGGCCTATCACGAGCTGGGAAAGCTAAACCAAACCAAGTAGCTTTTTTACAACTAATATGCAAACAATTCTGCACTTTTATGTACCATCATTCACCATCAAAATGGGCAAAGCCGAATATTACAGCATAAGCCTGTAGAAATAATTAAATACCATTTCATGAGCCTATCACCAACATGTTTTTATTATGAAGATATCTGTAGGCATTATTTTGCTAGGAAAATATACAGCATGAATCAGTGCTATGGTTCTTCACCAGGACTTTATTGTTTTATGCATAGTGATTTGATTTGTGTCAAATATAAATGCATCCTTAAATATTTTTGGGAGCCAAATCAGGTCTCGGACACTGAAGCACATTTAATTAAAGTTGTAAGTCTGAGAGCTTTTAAGTGAGGGCCAAAATTTCTGTCACATCAAGACTGATGAGACCATTAGAAATTAATCTTAAAATGAGTAATGCCACCCCATATCCATTAGTTCGCCAGTAATGTCCATCATGTCATATATTTCTTTTAAAAAGAATATTTTGTAAAGAACGTATCATACAAACATATCATCCATTAGTCGCAATTTTATAACAGCTTATTAACTGATATAATTTTTCCACAAAATGTTAGGCGTCTTTTTTCTTTCTTTCTCCCAAACTGGGTTAGATGTCTTCCTTTTTTCTCAAACTTTGGAACAAACGTTTTTCTTCTTAATCCTTGTCAAATAAATTATCGTGGCGTGTTAGATATTGACCCACAGGTTTCATCATTTTTCATTTGCCTCTTTGTGAAACAAATTACAACAATCGAGTCATTGAAGGAAGACTTCTCAAGCTTTACAACAGGGGTGGGGAACAACGGCTCTTTTATAACTTGTGGACTTCAACTCCCAGAATTCCTGAGCCAGCCCTCAGAAATGGTGGCTCGGGAATTCTGGGAGTTTTAAATCCACAAGTCATAAAGGGACTATTTGTTCTCCACCTCTGCATTAGAAAGAACAAAGTCGTCTTAAATAATATGTCATTTGAATATAAGCAAGAGAGGGTTTGGGGATTGTGATAACCAGGAGGAAAAATTAATTAAATCCTGAATCTATTGAAGGGCTGAAAGTACAGAGAAGGTATAAACGAAGAGCCAGGAAGCCATCTAATAACAGAGAGGCACACCAGCAACAGGTAACCTTAAAGAATGTGTAGATCGAAAAGTATGAGTGGAAATATTGGTTACTCAGTGAGGCCCATGCTGTATGAAACCTTACCCATTAAATAAAGTGTTTCCCCGAAAATAAGACCCTGTTTTATATTTTTTTGCCACCAAAAAAGGACACCAGGTCTTATTTTCGGGGAATGTCATTCACTGACTAACCTCACTTGCGCATGTCACCCCCAGCCTCCTTTTCACAGTCAGAGGCCTTCAGGAACATCTTCTGTGGCTGGCAAGATTTTCCTGAAGGCCTTTGCAGCCGTTAACAGAGCTCCAGATCGATCTGGAGTTTTGTTATCAGCTACAGAGGCCTTCAGGAAAGCCTTGCCGGCTACAGAAGAAATGAGCCGGCAAGGCAGGTGTCGGGGTGTGCAAGGCCTGACTACAACTGTCCAAAGGTAAGTAGTAGGGCAGCTCCCCCACTCCCATCCCCACCCTAGCTTAATTTTTACCCATGCACTCTGGAGTGGGCAGGGTCTTAATTAGGGCTTATTTGGGGGTGCACATGTAAAAATCAAGCTCGAACTTACTTTCAGGGTAGGTCGTATTTTCAGGGGAAACAGGGTAGATAATGTGTGATATCAAGACCCCTTCGTTCATGAGTTTCAAGATTGAATGTTGGCTAGACACAAATTCCTTCTGCATTGTTCAAGACCAAATAGAGGAAGTCACGGAGATGGGATGGTGTGAACTTGGTAAGAGCCATCATGCAAGTTCTTCTCATGTGACTTACTTCCAGGTAACCAAAGGAGGAATTAGGTTCTGGGAACGCTGACATCCCCAAGGTGACATCTTGACAAGAAACGGAGTCTTTCAGTCATGCTGATATGTGAAATGTGGACAATATCCCAGTAATATTTAAGTGCTGGAAACAAGTTTTTCTTTTTTTCAACAACAGCATACAGCAAGGAAGGGGGAACCTGCCATTGCTACACCCATTAGTGATTACTTCCCCCTGGATTCTGTCATTGTAGAACAGTCATTTATTCCTGGTTCCAAAATGGTGCCCTTGCAGCGCAGGGAAGAATTTCCTCATTGGCTTTTTCCTGCAAGGATTGAAGTTGTCACCTTATACTGTGTTTCCCCCAAAATAAGTCCGAGTCTTATATTAAATTTTCCTCCAAGGCACATTAGGGCTTATTTTCTGGTTAGGTCTTATTTTTCAGGGAAATGCAGTCCTAAATGCATCTGGCTGATAATCATAACGGACTTATTTTTGGCGCAGGGCTTATATTACAAGCATCCTGAAAAATCATGCTAGGGTTTATTTTCTAGTAGGGTCTTATTTCCAGGGAAACAGGTAGAAGTGAGCAGAGAATGGCATGGGAGGACATAAGTAAAGGCAAAACTCGGATTCTTCCTGGATTTCACCCCCATTCTCAAAAGTTGACCC